TGAATACCAATATTGATTATTGACACCAGATCATACGCAGAATAGATTCCTTGTTTGTTATGGTAAATCAAAGAGCATAAACTCATTACAACACATTGTTGTCCTGAATGTTGTCCACATGCCAACTCATTAGCTTAGCTATATCGTGCCCTTATTGTTTTGCTGGGGTCAATGTGCATTGGAGTAGGACCACCGTTTTTCTCTATCTGAACTCAGTTGAAATTTACAATAGTTTAATACGCGTGTCTGACTCTTACAAAGACAAACGGGTCTATAGCAAGAAAACATTGATAAATGCCGACTTCCCCTATACTTTAATTTAATTGTTTGATATACCCTCACAGAACAGTTCAACAAATACTTCTTCTCATGTTGTGTAACTTTATTTAATCTTACCCTCTTCATATTAAGCTTACATTCTTTGTAACTCTTCTAACCTTCACGTAGCAACGTAACCAAGAGGAACTGGGTATGCTTGGATGAAATTATACGCTTGTAAACAAATTCCTTCAGTTTTTTGCCCTTTCTTCTGAGATGTTTCAGAGCAGCTTCTTGTACTTTACTGGGTTCTCGATCACGTCTAAATACATGGTTGTGTTTACACGTAAACACAATATGAGATGGCTCATTTGATATAACAGGTTTTGCTTGATATTCCTCGATAGAAGGTTCACTCGCAAAGGATCGCTTGTAAATTGATCTCTTGTAAAGTTCGCGGACCGACCCATTTCCAAACGCTCCACAAGTTTTAGTGTGGGTCTACTGATAACGGTGTGTGACTTTTTAGGTATATTGAGCGTAATAGCCATCAAATTTCTTACGGATACATCAAGCAAACAGTTGTCCACAAAGGCAGCCATTGCTTGAAACTTTGAAATCATGCGCTCTCAAGTTCATTCTATGGTGACCCAAATATGCAGATGAGTCACTCACTCACCAAGATGTAAGTATGCTGTTAACCAAGTTGCAAGCCTTTTCTCTCTTTCTTCTCTTTAAGGTCACTGACCTTAAGTAATTTAAATTCATAAAAAGACACTTAAAACAGCCAATGAAGGCTAAAAATTACCACAAATGTGGCAATTAACATTTCATTTAAGTTAATTGATATATTTTGATGGAGATGTATTTTGGATATGCAATTTTCAGAGCTTTATTCATAACCCTCATGTTTCAATTTCTTCTTCAAGTGACATTTTGCTTTTTCTTCTGATTATTACTGGCTCAAATCAAGTAAATCTACTGCTACTGCTTGTTATTCAGTAAATGATAACTTTCTCAATATGTAAATTTTCCATTGTCAACTTGTCACTTTTTCAAACCAAAAGTTGATATATCTTACTAGATGTTTTGTTGTGTAGTATCACTGAGTATTTTTATGAGTTCTGCCGTAAAATACAAATAACGAGTAAAAATACTCAGGGATACTACACAACAAAACGTCTAATAAGTTATTTATTATCCAACAAACCAAATTGTTATTTCAGTTTGGGCAAATTTCCCGGATATATATTTACGGGGAGTGCATGACAGAAGTATATGAACCAGAACGGAATTGGCGCATTGGCGTTTTGCTATTTTCTTCATTAAATGAAGAAATTTCCTGTTTGTCTTGCTTTTTTTCTTCTTTTGTTTCATCTAATAAACTTGGATCTATATTTGCCAGCTGTTCCAACCCTTCGTCGTCAGAAATATGATTTAAATTGTCCACCTTTTTTTTTGGAACTTCAATCCAATTCTTTGCTTGTATGATGTGAGAAAACCTCTCTAACTGGTTCTCTGGAGTACAAATACCGCGTGATTGTTGTACTCATCTATGGCGTTATTTATGCTCTACAGAGCGTAGTTGGATAATAATTTGTTTTATACACCAATTTAACTTAAAGCACTGAATAACAAAGACTGGTAACTCGTGCGTCTCTTTCATTATGCATACGTGAAAGTCATAGATGTATATGTGCATCTGATGACCCTGTATCTGAGTGTATAAGTTGCATCTGAGCAGTCAAAGTATATCTGAGTGGTATTGTAAAGAGAAAATAGGCAGAATGATATTACTAGTTGGTTTCTGCTCTGTAACTACCAAAATTGAGTCAGACATGACTGGCAGGGTCGGCTGTTTACCTCATGTTGCTTGATTTTTTTTTTTTACACTTTCTTGAATTTGGATGTTTACAATGTTGATGTTTCTATCTACAAATTAAAGGGGATTTGAATTTTTGAGACAAATTGAAGCATTTGATGAACAATATCCTGTGTGGCAAGTTGCCTGAAAAGGGACTGAAAAAAATGAAACCAACACCATATCTTTGTCTACAAAACCTCTGTAAAGTGAAAAAAATTTACTGCCCTTGAATGCCTAATTACTGATTGAGTTGTTTTCAACTTATGGTTAATCTGTGGCAATATGAGACAAGGCTTGCAACCACACTTAGGATGTCAGCAACTTAACCTCCCCAATTTCAAATCAGATGTAATATTAAAATATTGAAGATCTGATGAATTTGGTGATGGCTGCCCTTGCACTAATGATGCATGCATCCTATCTTAGAAAAAATTTTAACTTCATCTCTTCGTTATTTTCCAAGAAAATTGCTGAGAAAGTAAAAAATCTAGCTCACTGACCGTGACTGGTGCCAATCATAAGGACAAAAGGAATTTGAGCAAATATGGGGCTCAGTTCAAATTGATCAATCAGCTTTTGGTTGTGGTGGGCTGTTAATATTTCTCTTAACCCATTGACGTCCAGTGCGCCCTCATGCGCCCGGAAATAAAACCCCTCTGAAAATCCAGTGCGCCCTCATGCGCCCTGTCAGATATGACTCGTTTTTATTGGCTGTAGCTAAGAAACCGTAGTCCCCTGGGTATTGAAATATAACTGAACGTGACCTGCATAAATTAACCTTTCATTTGATGTTATGTTTTTCATTCAGCGATTCGTGTGTGATTTTTAGCGAATTTTTGAAAATAGCATTCAGTATTTTAGCGTGGCTTCTCGCGGATTTGACGATACTTCGCGTTCTTCCGATGAAGAAGAAGAAATCTTTCCTGGTTTTTCTCTCTCGAAGTGGCTGAAAATCGACAGGAACGGCAGAGAAGGCTACAAGAAAAATCTGCGTGATGTTGATGGAGAAATCGGGTAGATCTTTGATTTCGGCAAGCGCTAAGGGGGAACAAACTCCGATGTCCATATTTTTGCTAGCAAAGAAGAAGAAGACGATGAAGTAGATAGCGACAACGAAGATATGCCTTTGGGGTTCAATGGTCAAACACATTGAGTGAAATTGACATCGAAGAGTTTACCATAATTTCCTCATGGCCCAACGAAAGATCTGGGCGAGGGTGCAACATCGAAAGATTTCCTTAATCTTTTCATCGACGATGGGAGAAAGCAAAGTGATAGACGCGCCTTCGAAACATATGCTTGTGAGCAATGCGGCGTTGCATTATGTCAGCAAATGCGTGGCGAACTCTCCTGCTTTTCAAAATAGCACGAAGGAAATTAACTCTTAAAAAACACTTAACCTTTGATCTTAAATTGTACCTTGTTTTTTTTTCGTTCTTTGGAGCGCTGTATTAGGCCGTAAAGCCCAATTTCATTTCACCTTCACTTTGCAAGTCGTGAACTGGTCAAAGATAAAAACAACTTTCTTTGTTTGGTATAATCTAAGCTTTGTTCGTAGTCTCTAACTGAAAGGGTTCTATTCAATCGATAGTTATTTCATTCTTCAATACTTCCATAGACGATTTACTGCCAGGTCTGTGTAAGCTTAACTCGTAACTTCTAGTTTTTTTTACCTCGTGACGTTCACTGATGTCAGCACTGGCGGTAAATTCAAATTTGATCTGTGCAAGAAAACTTACGAATTTCACTCTCTTACCCGTGAGATGGCCTGTTTTAATGCAAAATGTTTTTGACTAATTCTTTTTGTTTGCATTTCTGCTGAGTTAAGAGCAGCAATTGAGACTTACTGTGGTTTTAAGATGTTTTCATTTCCTTGTACATAGTAGGTAGTACAGCGATGGTCACTTTGTTTACTTGATGTCCATACTTTAATATTTTTTTTAAAAAAGCATAACATACATCTTCAGTATTTAAGCAGTTTAAGTAATTCTTTATTGTATTGGCAATCATGTTTTAAAGTTTCACTGCTGAAGAGTAAAACCAAGACATAAAATGGTAAATTTGTTTGGACCATGTGGTTTTTTTTAATTGGACAGCCATTTTGTCTGGATTTTCAGGGGTGGTCTGGGCTGAGGGCTTTGGACCTTAATGGGTTAATCTCATT